CAGGCAGAGGTTGGGAGAAGAGAAAGGGGGGAGGGGAAAAAAAAAGGAGAAGAAAAAAGGGGAAAGGAGAAGGAGGCAGAGTGACAGAGAGCCAAGGTCAGTAGAGATGGAAAAAGAAAGGGAAAAACAGATTTGGGTACACAGGTAAACCCACAAAAGCCCACCTGCCCCCTAAGATCAGTGAACTCTAGTACTGAAGGTCATATTGACTCATTACCATGAGCAGCAGAGTCTAAGCAGGGCCACCAGGAACCCATCGTTAGGGACCCCTCTCTCCACCCACCACGTCCAGTACATCTCAGAGCTAAGAGGGCAAATAAGAACCACAGCCATCAGAAAGACTAGGGCCAGGAAAGACCAAGTCCAGAGTAAAGGGCTTTGCAGGGCTCAGTGGTCACATTCTAAGGATGTTGACCTGTAAGATACCACTTCAAGGGCAGCAAGTACAGGAGAAACCATTGTAGGATCTGGTCACATTTCTCCTGAGAAGAAAAGACTTACCTTGAAGAATTTGCTAGGTAGGCAGACTGGTGGAACTCCATTCAGCATCGTTGTACTTCAATTCTGTAAAGTATTTTGAATGGTTCCCATGTGCAGAAAAGATCAAACTTAGTTGTGCAGGCCTCCGGAGATAAACTAGGGGAAATGGGAGAAATGAACAAAATGACAGATTCCAAGCCGATGAAAGGAAGAAGCTTCCAACGCTGCCAGATGTTCCAGAATAGAACTGGTTCCCGGTGGACTGTTCCTGAAGGGGTGTGTAGGAGGGATTCCTGTAGCAGGAGGGAGCAGGGCTGGGTGGCCCCTCAGTCGCTTTCCAATGCCAAGCAGTAGGGACTAGGGGCAAACAGGAACATCGGGGGCCTCCCAGGAAGCCTGATCAAGTCATCAAGTGTCGGCCCCAAAAACTGGATCATAAAAACAGAAGATCACATTGGCTTAAATTGACCTCCCCCTCCCAACAAACTCATTTGATGCGAGGAAGAGCTTATGCTTAGCTGGGGTAGTCACATACCAGAAAGCCTGCTGGCCGGCCAGGAAGGAGGCTTTGCTGTCACTGCACGCAGACATCACACAGAAGAAAAGGCCAGGGTGCCAGGTGTGGGGCAACAGATGTTTTAGAGATAAACAAGAAAAGGGCGATTTTCTTGAAAGCTTATTATTGGGAAAATCACAATGCTAAATTCCAATTTCTTGGTGGAGAGGTTATATGGGTCAGCTCAGGCACTGCCTCGCAAATCTGTTTTTCTGGCCAAGTGAGGCTGCCAGATGGGGAAAGCTAATTCTCATGTGCTATCATTCAGCACAGCGCTGAGGGTAGACGTGGTATGGGAAAGGGTTTGAGAGCACGGCGGCTGGAGCCACGGCCTGGGTTCAAGGGCTGTGTGGCTTAGGGTGAGTAGTTCAACCTCTCTGTGCGAGGATTCCCCTTCTTCAAAGTACAGAAAATAATGGTATTTACTTCATATAGTTATTTTGAGCATTAAGTACTTAGAACACTTGTTTTTAGTGTAAATAACTTAGAACAGGCCCTAGTGCTTAGAAAGTCCTATATTTATTTTATGATATGTTTATTATCACTTATCTTTATACTTTTGCAAGAAGCATGGTGGAAAGAGAAAATCTTGGACTTCGGAATGAGTTAGAGCTGAGTTCAATTCCTGCTCTCTGAGCTCTTGGTTCACAAATGTAAAAAGAGGACCAAAAATTCCTCCCTTGCAGGGCTGGAGTGAGGAATTAAATACATTTGCATACCCAGTTCAATGCATGACATACAGAAATATTCAAGAAATCCTAGTTCCTTTCCCCTCCTTCTGTCTCAGTGTGCTTCCTTGTCATGCTAGGCACTGCGCCAAGAGGTAGGGACACAACTGTGAATGAGATGTAGTCCCTGTCCTCAAAGGGTTCATGTCCAGAAGGAAAGTCTGGATACACACAGTGACAAGGTACTACGGCAAGGGCCATGAGGGGTCCAGTTTCCTGGCAGGTGATGCTTAAGTTGGGGCTTTAAAAAAGAACAGACTTTGCCGAACTGGTGGAAGTACTGGTCCGGGACATCATGGGGGGTAGGGAACTCACTACATACGTGTGCCACAGAGAGAGCCATCGATCCTTGTGGAGGGTCACTAGCCATCCCTGTGTCTACCTCTGGATTTCTGTGCCAAGACCCCAGGAGCCTCTGCAGGATACCCCTCCTCTCCCTGGGAAAGCAACCCATCTGGAGAATTATCAGGAAAACCAAAGGCACAGAAGACACTCAGGCACCCCAAATCAGCAGGTGTACATTTCAAGAGGGAAACTGCCAGAAAAGAAACAGCCCCCAGCAGCTGAACAGATCAGAAACATAGAATGCCCTAAAGGTTTCCGTAAGGCAGAGCTCCGTGCCAGCCCAGAGTTAGGACTCTGGAAGACGTTATATGCTTGCCCTGGCCGCTTCTTTCGCAACTGCGCTGAGCTCAAAAGGTCATCCCACTTTAGCTGGTATGTGCGTCACAGTGGCAACCCACGAGACCACTAGGACTAGGCTGGGAGCACCAGGGGATGAGCCTCTGGTAGAAGCCCCACAAAACTGGCAGATTCAGAGCCTTCCCCCCAAAGCCAGCAACAGACAGCTCCAAGGACCCCAAGGACCCGCTGTGCACCACTTACTGCCAGGAAGCTGTGGGAGCAGGATTCCAGCCCTGCCCTCCAGGCGGCTAGCCCAGAGAGATAAGGCCATGGGCTGCAGTAGAAAGAGCCAGGGCTTTGGGGATTGGGATGCTGAATCCCAATTCGCGCCTTGCAGGCTGTATGACCTTGGGCATGTACTTGGCCTCTCTAGTCTCACCTGTGAAGTGGAGCTAGCAGTACACTATGAGTATGTTTCATCCAGCCTTCAAAATACACAAAAGTGGACTATTACAAAGGTTAAATAAAAATGTCCCAAAGTGCCCACGGGTTAGCGGGAGCCCCTAAGCCTGCCCAGGAGGGAAGGGTGACATCATCAGCCCTCAAACTGTAGGATCCCAGGGGGAGAATGCAGAGATGAAGACTCCTGTCCTGGGAAGTCACAATCCTCCTTCCTGCCTTTCCAGGAGAGCTGTGCTGGCTGCCCGCTCCAGGGCTGAGCGGCAGATCCTTCCAACCCAGTAGTGGGGGCACACAGCTGGGAAGCTCCTAAGAGGCAGAGGTCACCCCGCCCAGCACCTCAACACACATACTACATACCACACACCCAGACGCACACGCAAAACACACCAACCCACACACCACATCCAGGAACCCTACACTCTATTGGCACATCAACACACCCATTCATACCCACCACCAAGTGCACACACACGCGCCCACACAGAACACACACACCAGCCCAGGCACCCTATCCTACACACATCACACCCCCCTCGGGTAGCCACAGTCCGTCATCTGCAAATAAGCTCACATGCGCGAGATACACAGAAATACCCGTTCACACATACACATGCACAGCCTACCCACACTCAGGGCGTGACACCCTCACACACTTGTTCACAGGCCCACACTACACAGAGGATGACTCTCCGTAGGGCCCATTTCCCAGCCTGGAGTGTTCTCGCACTTATCTACATAGGGCCCCACAACCGGTTGTACCCCCACATTTCTCCCACAAGCCCGCACCCCCGGGGCACATCTGTGCAGCGCCTCCCCCACCCGGCAGCCGGCTCCAGCAAGAGGCTTCCCGCTCGGTGTGCAGCGGCCACAGTGGCCAGGAATTAAAATGCAGCGAGGAGGAGCCGGGCGCGTCAGCACCGCGTCTCCAGGAGCGCACAGCGCCCGCCGCCGCCGCCGCCCCGCCCGCCCGGAGCCGTGGGGCCAGCGAGCTGAGGAGCAGGTGCTCTAAGCCCAGCCGCGCCAGCGTCGCGCGGCCGCTGCCCAAGTTCGCCCGGGGCCCGAGGAGGGCCGGGCAACCGGGAGAGCAGCGCAGCCGGCCTCGCCGCCGCCGCCGCGGGCTTGGAGTCTTGAGAGAAGGACGCGCGGAGCAGCGAGTTCGGGTCACCCCGCCGAGAGAGGTGCAGCCGGGGCTCCGCAGTCCCCAGCTCCTGGCGCCGCCGGGGCAGGGAGAAGAACAGGCAGGGGGACAGCGAAGCCGGCCTTTTCTGGAGACTCGAGGCTCCCCGGAGAGTCGAAGGGAGAAGCGACACTTTCCTCTGGCCGGAAGCTCTGAAGGGGCCCAGCAGCGAGCAGCCTCCCGCAGGACGCCCCGAGAAGCCCCAAGCCCCAGGCGAGAGCGGGCGCGTCGTACGCAGGGCTCGGGCGCGGGACTTAGGGGAGCCTTCGAGGGTGTTGGCCAAGCGCAGCCCGCGGAGCAGTGAGCGATCTCGCAGGGAAGGGGACGAGCGCAGCGGCCGGCTGAGCGACCCCTCGCCCCGGTACACACCCACCCCACCCGCGGCGCCTGAGCCGCGGTGCGCCTCTGGGGGCGCTCGTTCCCTGGCGCCTTCTCTCCCGGGTCCCAGCACCGCTGGGCTACGGGCTGGGCTGGCGGGGCCCTTAGGGATGTCCAAAGCAGGCATGGTGGCCGAGTGGCTGCTCTCCCCGGACCAGCGTAAAAGCTGGGGTTAGGCGGAGCAGGGGGGACTCGGCGCAGGGTCCCCCGAGGTCCAAGACGAGGGGAGGCGGGCGCAGCGCCCGGGCACCGGAGAGGCGGCGCCCGGTGGGGCCCCTCTAGAGGTAGCGGCCGGGCCAGGCACTCTGCAGGAAGACTAGGGGCCCGGAGAGCCCGGGAGGCGCTCGGGAGAGGCCAGGGCCAGGGGCGGCGGGCCGAAGCAGCGCTCCGTCCCGGGCGGGCGCCAGCGGAGGCGGTGGCGGCGGCGGCGCCGGGCGGGCATGCCGCGCCACCGGAGCTCCTTTCGGGCGCACGCTTCCCTGGCGCGGGCTGCGCGCGGCGGCTGCTGCTGCTGCTTCCACTGCTGCTGCGGACTCCCATGGCGGCTCCGCCCGGCCGGGGCTGCCGCCGCTGCCGCCAGCCGCGGGCTGAATGAATGAGCCGGAGCAGCGGAGCCCGGCTGCCCGCGGCCGCGCTCACCGGCCCGGGACGCTTCCGCATGGCCCGCGAGGAGCCGGCGCCGGCGGCGGTGGCGGCGGCCGGGCAGCCCGGGGGCGACCGGGGCGGCGAGCGCGAGCGGGCGCTGCAGGGGCCGGGGGTCGCCCGCAGGGGGCGGCCGTCGCTGAGCCGCGCTAAACTGCACGGGCTGCGGCACATGTGCGCCGGGCGCACGGCGGCGGGGGGCTCCTTCCAGCGGCGGGCGCTGTGGGTGCTGGCCTTCTGCACGTCCCTCGGCTTGCTGCTGTCCTGGTCCTCGAACCGCCTGCTCTACTGGCTCAGCTTCCCGTCGCACACGCGGGTGCACCGCGAGTGGAGTCGCCAGCTGCCCTTCCCCGCCGTCACCGTGTGCAACAACAACCCTCTGCGCTTCCCGCGCCTCTCCAAGGGGGACCTCTACTACGCCGGCCACTGGCTCGGACTGCTGCTGCCCAACCGCACCGCACGCCCGCTCGTCAGCGAGCTGCTGCGGGGCGACGAGCCGCGCCGCCAGTGGTTCCGCAAGCTGGCCGACTTCCGCCTCTTCCTGCCGCCGCGCCACTTCGAGGGCATCAGCGCCGCCTTCATGGACCGCCTGGGCCACCAGCTCGAGGACATGCTGCTCTCCTGCAAGTACCGCGGCGAGCTCTGCGGCCCGCACAACTTCTCCTCCGTGAGTTGCCCTCCGCGCGACCCCGCTCCCCGGGCTTCCCCGCGCGCTCCAGAGTCTGTAGGCCCTCCCTGCCCTCCTCCCCCAGGGTAGGACACCAGGCCGTTGGCGGTGAGGTGACATCATTCCAGGATGCCAAGGCGGAACCCACTCTTGGGTCCCCTGAGCCTTGTCCTCCAGGTCGTGGGAAGTTGGACACAACTGTAGGGGGAGTGACCTTGCTCACTTGTCCCCGCCTCTCCCCTTCCGGTGTCAGTCCCCAGGCCCCCAGCTCTTGTCTTCATGGTCCCCTCTGTGAATGCTAGCCCTTTGTCCTGGACCTCACCCCTGGTCCACAGGACTCCGGGCAATTGCCCGGTGTCTGGGGTGAAGGGATGGGATGAGAGGGAAGCACGTCTTACTTGTGGGTTTGTTGTTTTTGGGAAAATCAACAAGAAGCTTTTCAAAAGAGGGCCATCAGCAAAATCGCGCTGCTCTAAGCAGCTTCTGCCTGAGTTCCAAAACACTTGGAATCTAGGAGGACTTGGGAGGAAACGCCCAGAATATGAACCGACACTGAAACTGTAGCTGGTTAGGTGAAGAACTCAGCAGCCTCTTCTGCTGCTTTTTAAATAAAGCTCTGTCTTAAGCATCCAAGGGAATTGAGAGCGGTGGGCATCTGTGGGGTCCTTGACCCCTGGAGGTGAGAGTGGGTCCTGGGCTAGAGGAGCCACCCCCTGCCATGGGGAAAACAGCCTCAGAGAGATATTGATTCGAACACCAGGGGCCAGGAGAAGCTGTGCTTGGGGTTTGTAAACCATTTGCTGTGCTGGTTCCCCCACGCTGTGGGTCTAGATAATGCAGCTGTCAGACAGAAGGTATCTGCCTTGCACCGTCTGCCTTGGAGGAGTTCTTGTGCCAAGCCCCAGCGTGGCACAAGCCTGTCCAGTCATTCATGTGTAAACGCGCCTTAGGTGGGTTTGGGTTTTTCCACTAATGTGGGAAAGGTGGGCTGCGTGTTTATTTGTCATGCTCTGATGGTGATTTTACCAGCCCTTTTGCCTCCCTCCTGACAGTCTTGTATCTGCCCAGGTTTTTCCTGTTGTGGTAAAGGGATGCCACCATTCCAACAGGTGGTGGCTCAGATGCCTGTCAGGCCAGGCCTCTGATTGGCTAATTGGGCTCGTCCTTGTCTAGGATGGTGATTTTGGCTTCAGTGTTGCTCTCTTTGCATTGCTTTATGGAGAACAGCCCTGACTTATCCATTCCCTAAACACCCCTTACTTTCTGGGCTTTTCAGCCTGCCTTGGAGGAATTCTTAGCCTACTGGTTCCCCTGCCTGCTTTAGCAAGCAGAGGCTGGTAACGCGTGCTTCCAAGTGACTCCTTTCAGTCGTCAAGCACAATGGTGACTTCTACAGAGATGAAGGAATGAGATGAGCAATGCCTTGTTTATGTTTGGCTGACCACTACCTAGCAGCCTCTAAAGTTAGACTAAAGTTCAATGTTATATTCAACTATCAGCAACCCCTGGCTTCAGCTTCAAGTTGTGTAACAGGGCTCACCAAATAGAATCGTGCATGATGGCTCTACACGTGTGCAGAATTAAATCCCAACAGCCAGTGTTCATTTTTGACATTCCCACAACCCTGCATTAGCGAGGAGTTTTCTTCCCATTTTACAGATGAGGAAAATGAGGCTCCATGATGCTCCAAAGCTCAGAGCCAGTAAGTTGAAAGTTCAGCTTGGCAAACCATCAGATGAGTTACATGGAAGCCACACATAGCCTTCCTCTCTGAGCCGGGGCTTCTCTTCTATTAGAAGACCCCCTGCATAGGACTCTTGCCCTCCCCCACCCTACCAGCTCCCACCCCTTCTCTGAGCATGGCTGGGAGAGTGGCAAGTGGAGCCCCCCTAGGGGGTGCAGGTAGTCATAGCCTTGACCGCATGCTACGGGGGTCTAACCCACCTCATACGGTACCTTCAGGAACCACCTGACCTCAGTCTTCCCAGCAGGGATGGCCATGAGTTGAAGCAGCCAGGACCCTTCCCACGGGGGCACACCCTTCTCTCACTAGCCTGTACCCTGCCTACCTTCAGCTGAAGAGCTTGCAGGCACCCCCCCCCAAGCAAAACAAATATCTCCATTCCACAAGAATGTGTTTCTGGAGACTCAAGTGACCCCTGGTGGCTGGCTTTCTATTATGACCCTGCACTGGGACTTTCCAGCCCTTTAACACTTCATGCTGTAGTTTTTTCCAAGGATCTCAGAATTAAAGGCTGCAGCATCCCTTTCTCTGTGGAAGCCAGAAGCCAGGAGAGCATTAAATACAGAGCAGACCCGTCAGGAGTATTTTTCCAGTAACTACAAGACCCTGGCTCAGACCTTTGTGGTCTTTGGTGGTGGGGACTCTAGGGTAGCAGGTAAGAGCCAGAAGGCTGAAGCTGCAGGGATGGTTCAGATCCTGAGATTACCACTTACTGTGTGCCCTCTGGACAAGTGGCTTAGCCTCTCTGTTCTTTAGTTTCCTACTCCATCTAGTGGAGGTAACAAATATGTCATATGTGTTGTGCCTGGATGGATGGAAGGATGGATGGGCATATGCATATACATAAAGAGGGTGGGGCTCTTAAGGCAATGCTGGCCCCATCAAAATGTTGCCTTTAAATGATACTTGCCTCCTACCTGGTCCTTTGGCCTCCAGCTCAGTGCTCCCTCCCCGCCCCCATCCATCCCCTGTACTACAGCCAGAGTACTCTTTCCAAAGTTCTACTCAAAGCAGATCATCCCACCTCTTAAACCCCTTAAAATCCCAGGCTGTCCTCAGGCTCGGCACCTGCACCTTGCCTTGCTTCTTGCCCCAGTCTCTCTGGTACCGCATACCAAAGCTCTGTGAACAGCTTACAACAGCTGGACCACCGCTCCCCAGGCCTCTCTGCCTTGCTCCCCGCGGTCCTCTGCTGCTGTAAGTGCTCCCTGCCTCTGCACCCCGACCCTGCACACACTGCCTCGCCTGCCTCAGGATACTACTCATCCTTTAGCATCCAGCCCCGGGGGCTCTGCTCGGGAGCTCGTCCTGACTGTCTCACTCTCCACTTCCAATCACCAAGCAACTGATGCCTGCCTCCTTTCTACCCCTCTGCTGCCCCAATTAGGTGTCATGCCTCACACCTACTGGTCTGTGTCTGTCCCTCCCTCCAGAGTCACGTCTGATTTCCTGACCTCTCCAGCACCTGGCACAGAGGCTGACACATAAATGTTGAGGAAAGGTCTGGGCAATGAATCCATCCCTTCACCAGGTGCCCCCAAGACTTCTTCTTGTCTTGGAAGACCCTCACCAAGACACTTGGCTTACTTTCTCTAGGGAACACCAGTGGAATGCATTTCCAATAAGCATTTATTCCTTTGTGGGTTAGAGGCGGGGAGTGCAGAGCAGCAGACCAAGCATTCCCCAAAAGCCTGTGCTTCCCAAGCCCAAAGAGGACCAGTGCAACAGGTGAAGAATGGGGTCTCAAAGGAAGCCTTTGGGGTATGTGCCAGCTGGCCGCCAAAGTCTCCTTCCACCTAGCTAGTCTCACTTCTGGAAATAAACTTGGCCGGGGGGAGAGGAGTATTGTGAAGAGGCGTATCTGTTGGCTTTTATTTTCCAGTCCATTCGGGGTGTGTTTATTTGCAGCTCCTCTGTTTGTTACAGCTGTGAAAGGGTTAATCACTCAGCAGGCAGGACAAAGCAGCTCCTGCTTTTAAACGCCCATGTTCTTTCTGTGGCCCTAGCAGAGGACCTCTGGCTCTGCTTTGCACTCTCTGGCCCTCCTGGATTGTCCTGGGGGTGGAGGGAAGCGGCCTTCCCAGTAAGTGGCAGGACGCAGAACTGTGAGGCTGAGATAGCTGGGACTAGGGCCTCCAGAGAGGGAGGGAGGGGTTGGGGACAGGGGCTGACAGGGCGATCAGGGTCATCTGCAAGAACAAGGAGCAGCGACCCTCTCTGGGGGAAGGCATGGTTCAGGGGAGGCATCAGCCAGACCTAGCGTGGGCCTCTGGCTCTGCCGCCTTCTAGCTGTGTGCCTTGGGCAGATGCTTGACTCTCGTACCTCTGCTAATAGTGCCTGCCTCACCGTGCTGGGACGAAGACATGTGGGCAGAGGCTGATTGTATGATTTGGATCAAGAGATTGGCACAGTCCTCATATCTGGGGGTAGCAATTATAAATTATTCTCAATTTAATTATCATATCTTACCGTGACCACTTACCTGAGTGGGGATAGGCTCATTTCCTGGTTCATTCACTCCATCAACCTGTGTCTGTTGAGTGTCAACACTATGTCAAGCTCTGTCCTAGCTGCCGGGGGCATAAAACAAAGTAATTAATTATTAACATTAACATTAATTATGGTTAAGGTATGAGACGTGTGAACAGATGCCAATACAGAGTGCTCGGGTGCAATGTGGGCTTAGAGGAGTCCCCAGGTGAGACTGGGGACCTCCGAAGGCTTCCTGGAGGAGGTGACATGTAAACTGAGTCGTGAAGGCTAACTAGGATTTCCAAGGTAGAGAAAGAGGGAGTGGGGGACAGCATGTATAAATGTGAGTCCAGAGGTGTGAAACGATGAGGTTGAACACAGGCTTCTAGGCCCTGAGAGTGGTTCGGGGTATCTGGAGGGAGGGGCCGGAGGCCTTGAGGAGGAGGAGAGCAGAAGTGTGATAGTACAATGCTATGATGGATGCCTGGGGGTCAAACTACATTTTTAAACTTTGTAGTAAATCTCTGACTTCTTTCACTTCTGGCTATTAGACCATGGAGGGTCCCCTCTGTGTCATCCGTTTCCCACCCCCATTCCTCACTCCATCAGGGCCATTCCTCCCTGAACCCTTCCCCTTTTCTTGCCCCTTTTTGCTGGGGTCAACCTTGAGCCCAGATTTTGGTGTAGTCTATGTACGAAAAGCCAAGGAAGGAGCATTTGGTTTCATCACACTTTGTCACAGCAAGTGGGCTGACTGCTCCGAGCCAGCGACAGAAAACAAGA